GTCCGTGATGTGTGCCCGAGGAAGCCAGAAGAGGGGGGTCAGATCCCCTGCCACGCGGATTCCCCTGTTGGGAACTGACCTGGATCCTCTGAAAAGAGCCAGTGCTCATAAGCACGGAGCCATCTCTTCAACCCCACACGTGTTGCTTTTTCAGAAGAGCTGGATTCAGCTCCCAGCACCAACATGGTGGTTCACAACCGTCTGTAACTTTAATTCCATAGGATCCAATGACCTCTTCTGACCTCCAGAGACATCAAGAACACATATTTGTGCCAGCAAAACTCATACTCGACGTGTGTTGGTGGTGTACGCCTTTAACCCCAGCACTCGGGAGGCAGAGGCAGGCGGATCTCTGTGATTTTGAGGCCAGGCTGGTCTACAGAGCGAGTTCCAGGACAGGCTCCAAAGCAATACAGAGAAACCCTGTCTCAAAAAAACCAAGCCAAAACAAACACAAAAAACACTCATACACATAACATAAATGTTTACCTAGAGTTTTTGGCCAGCCAGGACTGTGCTGTGAAACTGTCTCAAAACAGACACAATGGCGGGAAGTGGCTCAGGGAGTAGAGGCTCACCACAAAGCCTAATACCAAGTTCCAGACCAGGGACCCACATGGTGGAGGAGAGAACAGATGCCTTTTTTTCTTTGTATTAGTGGGGGAGGGTTGAGACAGGGTTTCTCTGTGTAGCCTGGGCTGCCCCAGAACTCGCTCTGTAGACCAGGCTGGCCTTGACAACAGATATTTCCTGCTGCCTCCCAATAGCTACAATTAAAGGGTGAGCACTACCACCACCGTCTGAGAACAGATTTGTGAAAGTTGTTCTCTGACCACCTGGACATAACCTCATGACCTGAATGGCATGCACCGGTCACACACAAGAACCGACCAACCAACAAATAAATCCAGAATCAACAACAAACCCTAAAACAAGAGCTGGAGATGAAAACAAAAGGTGTAAGAGAGGTTAATTCCAAACTCTTGTTTTTCTTTCCCCTTTGAAGCAAGGTCTCACTATGTAGTTCTGGCTGTCCTGGAACTCACTGTTAGACCAGGCTAGCCTGGAACTCACTGTTAGACCAGGCTGGCCTGGAACTCACAGAGATCCCTGCCTCTGCCTCCTGAGTGCTGGCCTAATTCTGAAATTCTAAGCATTTGTGTTGCCTGACATCATGGCAATATGAAAAAGTCTCCTGGAGGCAATGGCGGGCCTGTGGAGAGTGGGTGTGTCATGCCTCCACAGACAGTGTCAGTTACAAGAAACCAGCCTGGCAAGCAGGCGTGGGAGACTTATGTGTGTGTAAACACGTCCATGAAGATGCCAACAGGGCAGAAGAGGGTGATCCCTCAGAAGAGTCCTACAGTTACCGGCTACTGTGAGCTGCCTGACTTCCGTGCTGGGAACCGAATGAGGGTCGCCTAGAAGAACAGGAGTGCCCTTAACCCATCAGCCACCTATTCAGCCCCAAGGCCATCCTAGTTGGGATCCACCGCATTTCCCTCGTTCTAGAAAGGTGTCTTCTTTATTTTATTTATTTATTGCTTTTCATTTTTTCTGAGACAGGGTTCCTCTGTGTAGCCCTGGCTGTCCTGGAATTCTCTTTGTAGACCAGGCTGGCCTCGAACTCAGAGATCTGCCTGCCTCTGTCTCCTGAGTGCTGGGATTAAAGGCGTGCGCCACAGCCGCCCGGCTAGAAAGATGTCTTGAATCTCTGCATTCAGCGTGTTCCAAGGGCAAGCTTAGTCAAGAGTGTGCAAGCGTAGGCCATGGGGTGGTTCAATGGTAAAAATGCCTTATGACCTGAGTTTCTTCCCAATATCCCAGTAGAAGCAGAGAAGAGACTCCCAAAACCTGTCCTCTGGCAGCTGCACTGCATGCAAGCATGCGTGTGCACACACATAAATAATAAAACACAATAAAAAGTTTATCAACAACAAGGCCAGCCTGGGCTAAAGAGGACAGCTTAGGCTACTGGGAAGATGCTATGAATGCAGCTCATGGTTAAGAACGTTAGTCCAGCCAGCATGAAGGCCTGCACTCAGGGCACTGCAAACAAGCAGGCCTGCTCTGAAGACGGGCGAGCATCCTGGCCCTGGGACCACCGGCCAGGCCTCCTCTGTCTTCCCAGCCCCCATCGCTAGCACCTGCGGCCTACTCGCCCACACCCACTTCCCAGTGCCCTCGGCTTCTGCTCCTGTCGACCTTCTGGGCAAATCCCTGCTTTATTCTTAGCCGCCGACTGCCTTGGCCCTGAGCAGTATTTGGCACTGGCTGCCTGGCATTTCTTGGCCATGAGCAGAGGATTCTGCTAGGTTGGTGAAACACTCCCTCTTTAAATAGGAGAACAGCTATAAAGGGGGGCATCCCTTCTAAAGATTTTAGTTTTCTTTCTGTGTATGTCTGTGTGTATGTTCTGCCACACATTTTAAGGTGCCCAGGGACTAGAAGAGGATGCCAGTCCCCTGCAGCTGAAATTACAGCTGCCTGACATGGGGGAGGGGAGCACTGGGAACCAAATCTTGGCCCTCTTACCGCTGAGCCATCTCTCCAGGCCCAAGGGGCATTTTTCTTTCTTCTTTTGGGGATGGGGGGGGTTTGAGACAGTTTCTCTGTGTAGCCCTAGCTGTCCTGGAACTCTCTCTGTACATCAGGCTGGCCTCAGAGATCTACCTGTCTCTGCCTCCTAAGTGCTGGGATTAAAGGTGTGTGTTACCACCACACAGCTAAAAACTTAGCCGGCATATGTGTCTGTGCATTACTTGTGTGTGTCTGGTGTCTTTGGAGGTATCTGATCCCCTGGGGGATTCGAGTTACAGATGATTGCAAACTGCTAGGTGGATGTTGGGAACCAAACCTGAGTTCCCTGCAAAAGCAACAAATACCCTTAAAATTGAGACATCTCTCCAGCCCCCAGAAGTGTGAAAGCTAAAAAACAAAACCAAACAGCCAGGCGTTGGTGGCACACACCTTTAATCCCAGCACTGTAACCCCAGCTCCAGGAATCCAATGCTTTCTTCTGACCTCTGTGAGCACCAAAGTACACACATCTGGATTTCATCCTCAGCACTACACACTACACACACACACACAAACACACACACTTAAAATAAAAATCATAATGAAGAAGCAGTTCACAACCATGTGTAACCACTCAACACTTAGGAAGTGAGAGTAGTGGTCTGCAGAGATGGCTCAGAGGTTAAGAGCACTGGCTGCTATTCCAGAGGACCTGGGTTCAATTCCCAGCACCCACACAGCAGCTTATAACTGTTTGTAACTCCAGTTCCAGGGGACCTGGCACCCTCACACAGACATACAAGTAGGCAAAAATCAATCAATCATTAAAAAAATCAACATAGAATCCCAGGACTTGGGAGGCAGAGGCAGGCGGATCCCTGTGAGTTCGAGGCCAGCCTGGTCTACAGATCGAGTTTCAGGACAACCTCCAAAACAATACAGAGAAACTCTGTATCGGAAAAAAAAAAAAAAAACAACAACAAAAACAAAAACATAAAATACTATCCATCTGCAAACAGGGTATCCAGATATAACATGGAGGGACCTAGAAACACATGCTGAGTGAGAGAAGCCAGCCACAAAAGCCCACACACTGTATGACTGCATTCAGAAGAAATGTGCAGATTAGGCAAATTCAGTGTAGAGGCTGCCAAGGGCTGGGGGTGGTGAAAACAGAGGAAGGGGCCACGAATGTGGGGCAGGGTCTTTGGGATCTCATTTGGCCCAGCTTGGCCTCTGGCGCTCTATGCAGCCTGAAGATGCCCTTGAACCTCTGACACTGCTGCCTCCGCCAGAGTGAGTATGCCTCTGTAGCAGGTTCCTGCCTGGCATCCTCGGAGGCCAGAAGAGGGAATTAGATGCCCTGGAACCGGAGGGATTACAGGTGTGTGCTACCACGCCCAGAGAGCACACTCTAAAATTGTTAGTGGTGATGTCTGTACAACTCTGTGAACATACTACAAACCACTAAATTGTTTAAGTGGGCAAAGTATGTATTATGTGAAATTATAGCCCAATAAAGCTCACTGAAAATAAGAACATGAGCTAGGAGTGGTGACTGATTGCTTGTAATTTCAGTACAGGGCTATCCCATCTCAAAACAAACAAGTCAAGAGGCACAAGAAGATGGTGCGGTGGCTGAGAGGACTGGCTGCTCTTCCAAAGGAGCTGGGTTTGATACCTAACACACACACTCACACACACACTCTCTCACACACACTCACTCTCACACACCATGCCCATTTTAAATGAATCTTAATCTCCCTACAGAGGTATATAGTGAAATTTGATGCCATCCTGGACTGCATGCAACCCTGTCTCAAAAAAATGAAACAATCGAGCCGGGCGTTGGTTGCGCACGCCTTTAATCCCAGCACTCGGGAGGCAGAGGCAGGCGGATCTCTGAGTTTGAGGCCAGCCTGGTCTACAGAGTGAGTTCTGGGACAGCCAGGGCTACGAAGTGAGATTCTGTCTCAAGTAAAATAATTCACTTGTTTCAAGGATCCTTCTGGGGCCTAATCCACTACTGCTCGTCGCCGTCCTCACCATTGTCTGGAAAACTGAAGCGGATTGAGGAATCCTGTCTTAACTCTCACTAATCCAGGGAGTCCCACGTTCCTCCCTGCACTGGGACCGACCCCTTTTCCACTGAGGAACTACATTTTCTAAGAGCGGCCAGGATGAGGGCGACACATTGCAGGGCATGCTGGGAGATGTAGTTCAGCTTCCAACTCAGAGAGTCCAGAACGCTGTTAATGACTGGCAGAAAGTCGGGGTGCGAAACCTTATCCTGTGTCCCTCGGAACTACAAATATCCCACCCACAACAAGGGATCTTGGCGACGCGGCCCACACCGCCTGCAGCTCACCTCAGAAACGGTTATCCGACCGGTCGTTGCGTCGTCTGTGCCCTGAACCGGAAAAGACTACTGTTTTTTTCCACTCCACTCCTCCCACTTCCGCTGGTAGTAGAAACCGGAAATAATACTGCCCCTAGTTGCGGAGGCGCTTTGCCTGGCTTGGTAAATCCTTTCTTCTTCTCTTCCAGCCCCCCGGAAACGTGAGTAACAACTCGAAGGTTCCGCAAAGCGAAAGTGGCTTAAATATAGGAGACCGCTTAGCCCGTACTAGGCAGAGTGGGTCAGTTGCTTTGAGCCTCTTCAGTCTGAGTTTAAGAACTAACTCCCTCGCCCAGAGATTCTGATACCCACTTTCCCAAATATATACCAAAAATTTCCCTTGCATCTTAAGAGAAGATTAAGTGAGAACTCTTCTTTGCACATATTGTAGAAAGAGCAATAGTCAAAAGGTAACGAGGCCAAGCTGTTCAAGTCACTTTCAGAAAACGGATTTACTGTGGAACCGCCCAGTTATTCTAGGATCCAAATCATTCGGTTCCCACCAGTTTGTAGATCTCTAGAGACCCAAGATTTATTTTCCTGGCCGCCAAGCAAACTGTTTGTAGGCAGAGACCCGGGTTGGGAAAGGAGCGAGGAGGAGGCTCTGATAAAGCCCCCTAGATCCCTCTATAGCGTAGGAAAGGAAGTCTTGCCTCTATGTGAGGCTGTGTCCCCAAGCCCTTGGTCCTAAGGTTGGTTCCTTTAAATACTTTGTCCCTTACCTGAGTCCCTCCCAGAGTAGGTAATCAGTAGCCCCGCCCCCTGTCAGAAGCCGGGATCCGGCCTAGTTACTGAATTGAAGCACCCCTCCTCCTCCCCCCCCCTCCCCTCTCCCTTACCCCTTTTCACAACTGGTTCCTGTTGACCTAGGGGGTCTTCATTAAAGAAGAGAGGCAGGACTCCCAGGTCTGGGCAGGTAAGTGAGTAATGCTCTCAAAGAAACTTGGGGGGGTGGGGCACGCTTTGGTGTCCTGACTCGCCACACCATTGGGATCTAGAAACTTGGAAGTCTAAACCCCTAGGCCCTGGCGTCCAGGACCCCCTGTCCCCTCAAGCCTTCGAACCTCGAAACTTAGGATCTGGTCTGCCCTGTAATCTCTTATCTCTGAGGGTGGGTGAGGCAATGGGCAGAGGGAGGTTGACTTGGAATGGAATCTGCCGGGTTGGAAGGGATCAGGACTGAAGATGAACCTGTCTAAATGCTTACTGTCGTGTTAGACCTGGGATGGGTGCTGCGGAAACAGCAGAGGTATAAATGAGAGCACACCAACTTTGTGCTCATCATTGGGAGGGCCCTGTCATCGCTGAGCTCCGGGTACAACTGGCAAGTGACTTTACCACCCAGTGACGCAGTTTCCTCATCCATAGAATGGCAGGGGTAATCAGATGGTTTTGAAAATTAACATGAGTTGATCCGGACCCACAGTGTCCAGCGCGGGCTTTCGTCTTGTTCGCTGACTGCAGAGTCCAGGCAGGGGGTCCTTGCCTGCCACCTCTGCTGCTGAGGCATTTGTCATCTGCACACAGTATGAGGGGCCATCCTTCTCTGCTCTTAGTCTACATGGGACTGGCCACCTGCCTGGACACCTTACCTCATGGAGAGCAAAACCAAGGTGAGTGTTTGGGGGAAGAGCCTGGCAGAGGTTTAATTTCTGCCTTCCCCGGGCCCCAGCCCTTCTCCCTCAGACCCACAAGCCCAGGCCCGACCCTCCTTGCTCAGAAATAGATTTTCATACTCTGATTTTCCTCCCTCGTTCCCAATCCTCCTTACTCACACCACAGAACTGCACAGCTCTTTATCTTCTTTGTCTTCAGTTCTAAGGACTCTCTGTTTTGACCCTGATGCCCTTAGTTCCTGACATCTTCCTGGATCCCCTGGAGGCCCAGAGTTTTCTAGTTGGCCACAGGCGGGTTCCTCGGGCTAACCACTGGGACCTGGAGTTGGTGACTCCTGGGAACCTGGAGCGGGAGTGTCTGGAGGAGAGGTGCTCCTGGGAGGAGGCCCGGGAGTACTTTGAGGACAACACAATGACGGTAAGGGCCTCAGAGGACCCTGACATTAGGGCTCCCCCCTGCCTTCTCCAGGTGTTAAGGAGAGTCGGCATCGGACCTTGGCCTCCCTCTTACCTCCCTGGGGGTTCAGTTATCAGGGTGGACTGGGGGTGGGGGTGGGGGGTGTTCCATGTTTAGTTGCTTCTCTTCCCTTCCTCTCCAATCCTTCTAGGAGCGCTTCTGGGAAAACTATGCCTACAATGGCAAGGGAGGTGAGTGGTACTCAGCCCTCTTGCTCCACGGTGGGGAATCAGCCCTTAACCCTAGAGTTTCACCCAAAGCCCCTCCACACATACGGGGACCACCTCCCCTCAAATCCCATGCTGCCCTGTTTCATTATGACCCTTGTCTGAGGAATCCAGCACAGGTGACAACTGCATTCACATCCATAGGAGGGCCCAAGTCCCCAGCAGGGGGCATGTGGGTGGGCAGATGGAAGGAAAGGTTATTGTCATGGGGACAAACTCACCTGGGACCTCCTGTAGACCCAGAGCCCCAGCCCCCTGCAAGCATCTTGGTTACTAGTGGGGCTGTACCCTAGCAACAGAGCTAGGGCCTGAAGTCTGGCCATTCTCACCTGTCCAGTTTGCCTACACCAGCCCCCTCCTCTGAGTTCTGAAACCCTCATCTTGGCTTGAGCCTTGTTGCTAAGGGGGGCTGCTCCTTAGCAACAGGGCCCTGGCCAGGCCAGACAGAGGAAGCCACAAGCATTACCTGGCTGCCTTCCCCTCCCCCAAAGCCCCATGCCGCCACAGCCTGCCTGGTTGCTAAGGAGGCCTTCTCCCTAGCAACCGTACCTAGCTGGAGGACCAGGGCCTCCTGCCCAGCTGGAGGACCCCCCTCTGGGCACCAGCTGCCCCACCCCCTCGTGGCCTGGTTGCTAGGGGTGGATGCACCTTAGCAACAGGCTCCTAGGTCTGTACTGGAGTACTCACAGTGGAACCAGTTGCTAGGGGAAATAGCTGCTTTTCTACAATCCTAGCAAGGCCTAGTGGCTCCTTGGATCACCTGAAATCTGCCAGACTTTGGAGCACCATCTTCTCACTGCAAGCTAAAAAACAAGGCTGGAGGTGGAGATGGGTGGTAGCCAGATTTGATGGCCCTTGACCTGGCCTTGGACTTGTAATCCCAGCTACTTCAGAGGTTGAAGCAGATTGTGAGTACAAGGCCAGCCTCTGTTACATATCAAGTTTGAGGCCAGCCTCAAAATCTGTCTCAATAAAATAAAATCAATGGCTGGAGAGGTGGACCAGTTGGTAAACTGATTGCCAGTTTGATCCCCAGGATCTAGAGGAAGCTGGGCTTGCTGGTGTACCTCTGTAATCCCACTGTGTGAGAAGAGACACAGGAGGGTCCATGGGGCTGCCTGGACAACCAGCCTGTCTACGTCTCTGAGCCCCCACCTAGTGAGAGAACCTTTCTCAAAAAAAAAAAAAAAAACAAACAAAAAAAACAAGGCACCGCAGTGAGACTGCTCAGCAGGTGAGTGTGCTTATCACCAAGCCCAGTTCTGAGTTCAGTCTCTGGATACCACAGGGTAGAGTGACAGAAGTGACTTATGGGAGTTGTCCTCTGACAACACCTACGTGCACACAGACTCACGCATGTAGATAATTACATTTAAAAAAAATAACAAAGGGCTGGGTGTTGGTGGCTCACGCCTTTAAGCCCAGCACTTGGGAGGCAGAGGCAGGCGGATCTCTGTGAGTTCGAGGCCAGCCTGGTCTACAAGAGCTAGTTCCAGGACAGCCTCCAAAGCCACAGAGAAACCCTGTCTCGAAAAACCAAAAAAAAAAAACCAACCCCCCCCCCCAAAAAAAACAAAGTATGACTTTTGGGGGAAAATATCCAAGGTTGAACTGTGGCCACCACACACACACACACACACACACACACACACACACACACACACACACACACACACGCGCGCGCACGCAATCACCCACCTATTTAATCAGTGGTAAGGGCTACAGAGATGGCCCAGCACTTAAGAGTTCTTGTTGCTTTTGCAGAGTACTGGAGTTTGGTTCCTAGGACCCTAGTTAGATGCTGTCACTACCGGTGATGAACTCTAGCAGACCCGGAGGGTCCAGTGTCTTCCTTTGACCTCTGTGCACCTACCTTCCCCACACATACACACAAATGCAAATAAAATGGGTTATTTAGGAAATCGGTAGGAGGCTGGAGAGATTGTTCAGGTTCCAGCACCTACATAATGGTCATCAACTCCAGTTCCAGGGACCCATCACCCTCTTGTGACCTCTCATAGCACGAGACATGAATGTGTTGCACATGTACATAATGTAAAATGAACCTTTTTAAAAAAGCTACAAGTCCAACCAGGCGGTGGGGGCACACGCCTTTAATCCCAGCACTCAGGGAGGCAGAGGCAGGCGGAGCTCTGTGAGCTCAAGGCCACCTGGTCTACAGGACAGCAGGGCTGTTACACACAGAAACCTTGTCTCAAAAAAAACAAACCAAACAAACCAAGCAAAGCAAAAACCCTAGGTGTTCAATCTCTAGCAGGACAAAAAAATATTTAAAAATATACATAAAATTATTTAAAAATAAAAAGAGCCTAAAGCAAACAATCACATTGAGGGCAGGGATGCCGAAGTCTCCTTTAGCTCCCTTAGTTTGTTGAAGGGGTCTGCACCTTAGGCTCATGTTCATGCTAGTCAACACCTCCATATTTCATTGCTGTCCTTGTAAATGCTGAAGCTCTTCTATGGAATGGCCCTTCCTCTTGTGCTACACTAACACGATTCAGTTTAAGTAGAAGGGACACATCAGTGTGTTTGCAGGGAACTATCTTCCTCCGCTCTCCAGTGGTGGGGATGAACCAGGGCCTTAAGTACACTTCCCAGCTGCCCTACAGTGTGCTATGTCCCAAATGCAATTCTCTTTTTATTTGTTTTGTGACAGTGTCTCAGGAACTTGTCCAGGCTGACCTTGAATTCACTGTCAGACTTCCAACATGCTGTCCCTCAGTCTCAGACGCCCAAGTAGCTGAGATGACAGGGCCATCACCCCCTGCTCAGCTCTTAATGAGTGAGTTTTCATGAGCTCCTGGTAGGGCTCAGGTCCCCATTCTGCATAGCAGGAAACAGAGACTCTGAGAAAGCCATAGTGTTTGTTGCTTGAGGCCACAGGAGCAGAAAGGGAGGGAGTCTCAGATCTATCTGCCTTGCTTTATTTATTTATTTTATTTTGTCTTTGAGACAGGGTTTCACTGTGTAGCCTTGGCTGTCCTGGAACTCGCTCTGTAGGCCAGGCTGGCCTTGAACTCACAGAGACCCGCCTGCCTCTGCCTCCCGAGCGCTGGGTTTAGAGGTGTGGGCTGCAGCGCTCTCCTCACCACATCTGCCTTGCTCCTTAGCACACGCCCTCAGGGAAAGCAATTGAGATGTTGGAGGAGGTGGTAGCCCCTGGATGGCTGGTACCCTCTACCCACAGGTCGTGGACGAGTAGATGTGGCAGGCCTGGCGGTAGGACTGACCTCTGGGATCCTGATCATCGTTTTGGCTGGCTTGGGAGCCTTTTGGTATCTGCATTACCGACGACGGCGCCGCCTCAGAGTCCAGGAGTCCTGTCAGCAAGAGTAAGGGGTCTTCCCGGAGGAGGGGATGTGCGAGATGAATTGTCAGGAAACTGGGCGGGAAGAGGCTGGACCTGAGAAGGGCTCAAGTCTGAGGCGAGAGAGCAGTGCTGAAGAGTCTGGAGCACAGGCCTGTGGAGAGTGAGTGGTGGTCATTCCCGCCTGTCTGTTCAGCGTGAGCTAGTTCTTTGTGAAGTTGATACCTCTCAGTCTTTTGAGTGCCAGGTTCAGTGACATCATCACTGTCACCGTGTAGCCTGTGCTCTATAGCTGTCTGGGGTACAGTCTTTTCCGTGGGTACAGGTCACAGCCCGCGTGTGTGTGATCTGTGAGTTGTCTGGGTGTGTCTTTCACATCGGCAGAGTCTCACAGGGCGTCTGGGTGTCATGGTGCTTCATCCTGTCGTCCCAGCACCCAGGGGGTAGTGGCAGGAGGATCTCAAAATCCTGAAGATCTCTTCACTGCAGTGTGAGTTCAAAGCTAGCCTGGGTAACTTAAGGAGAACCTTTCCCAAATAAAATGTAAAAAGAGAAGTGAAGGTGTAGATCAGCAGTGGGATCCATTATTCTCTTATTCTCTCTCTCTCTCTCTGTCTCTCTCTCTCTCCCTGGGCTGGGACACAGGATACCCTGGGTCCTGGGTGTCCCCCAATGTGAGCACCTGAGTCCTAGTCCAAGGACCCACATGGTGTAAGGAGAAAACACTCCCCAATTGTCCTCTGACCATCATTTGTGTGTGTACACACACACACTCAGAGAACACATAACTGTATTTTAAATATAAAAATAAGGTTTAATGGATTTGGGCATAGTGGCTCACACATGCAGTCCCAATGCTTGGGATGCTAGGCAGGATTGTTAAGTTGTGGGAGACCATGCCTAAAAGAGTGGATTCGGGAAACTTAGGAACTAAATGTTGCTGTGTGTGTGGACCTGCTGAACTTTGTCTTGTCTGTTCCTGTGTCTGCCCACCCAGTGTTTCTGTGGATGAGAGTGTACATTCGGGGCTCATTTTCATGTCCTTCGAAGCACTTTCCTGTCCCCTCTCACCCTCAGTCAGCCCTTGGTCAATGAAGTTTCTTTTTATTTATTTCTTGTAAAGATGTATTTTATGTGTATGGGTGTTTTGCATGCATGTATATACATTCATATATATGTATATATATATATGATATATATATATCATATATATATATACACACACCATATATATACCTGGAGCAATGCGAGGTCACAACAGGGCGTCGGATCCCCTGGGACTTACAGATGGTTGTGAGTAGCCATGTGGGTCCTCAACAAGAGCAGTCAGAGATTTTAACTCCAATGGACGTTTTATACTAACCCCTCTTTCTGTCTCTAGGACCGGACTCATCAGTCCCCTGAGCCCCCCGACGCCCTTGTCTCCACCCTTACCTCCAGGCCTCCCCACCTACGAGCAGGCGCTAGCAGCCTCTGGGGTGCATGATGCCCCTCCGCCCCCTTACTCCAGGTACTGGGTGGGGCTTCTGCCTGGGGAATGCGGTGCGGAGGAAGGCTACCCATGGGAGGGGCGTGTCCCCAAGGGCGGGTCTTGGTGTTTTGGGATGTCTAAAAGGGGCGGGTCTTGCAGGGCAGGGCGGGCCCTACGCAATTGTCTGTAGGGGCGTGGACCAGCCTTGCAAGAGTGCAGCTTTTCAGGAAGGTGGGGCTTGTGCATACAGGATTCAGGATTGGCTGAGGCACCAAGGGCGGGTCGGTGTGGTCTTTGTGGAGGGGGCTTGTTTGACTCTGCACTGTGCACTCCCCACCCCCACCCCGGTAGCCTCCGGAGGCCTCACTGAAGACCTGCTCCAGAGCGCGGGCTGCCCGAACTGTGCCCCCGATACACGGCGGATTCCGGAAGTCGCTGGGCCTCTTCGACTGCCCGGCTTCAATGTGTGCACGGGGGAGTCAGGGTCGTCGGACCCGCGGTCTACCATGACACACGTGTTTCCGCCGCGCACGGATACACGCATGCCCCTGACAATCCTGCTGCCGAGTCCGTGCCCCTGTCTCTTCCCCACCTCTCCAGAGCCGCGGCCCTTCCTCGGAGTGGGCAGGCTCCTTTGGAAACTCGGACAAGACGTGACTCGACTGTCGCCCCACCGTGTCGCGGGGAGCGTACACGGAGGGAGCCAGGCCCGTGCACACGCCCGCCCTCGAGTATTTCCCCAGTCTGCACATGGGCGGTTCGTGATCCAGCATAAAGGTGGAAGGCACTTTTGCTGTGTCCTGGAAAAGGGGTGTCACGCTTGTGTTGCACCCCGGGAAATGGAGTTGAGCTGCTATCTACCTAAAAAAAAAAACCTTTGGAAAAGGAAGAAATTTAAAAAGAAAGAAAGCCCCCCACACAAGAATTGAAACAATTCATGAAAAATAAAAATGAAAACGAACTGAATCCCGTTCCTGGGCGCATCTGCGCGCGGTGGAGCTGGTACAGGCGCTGTGCCCTACACCCCCAGGCTCCGCTAGTGAGCTCTCTCCTGCGCTCGCCCGCTCTTATTCTCTCTCTCTCTCTCTCTCTCTCTCTCTCTCTCTCTCTCTCTCTCTCTCTCTCTCTCTCTCTCTCTCTCTCTCTCTCGGGCTCCGCTAGTGTTCTCCTCGTTCTCTCTCTCTCTCTCTCTCTCTCTCTCTCTCTCTCTCTCTCTCTCTCTCTCTCTCTCTCTCTCTCTCTCTCTCTTTTTGCATTTGCACGGGATTGTGGGAGGAAGCGGAGCGCAGCCAGACACCCCGCCGCCCGCCCCCCTTCCCCTCCCCCCTCCCCCAGCCGCCTTGTGCAAAGATGGCTGCACCGTGAGCGCAGAGGAGGAGGAGGCGGCGGCGGCGGCGGCGAAAGAGCGAGCACCCAACGCCTGCACCCACTCCGGGGCCGTCCGGGACGCCCCCTCTCGAGCGCGCGTCCCCCTTCTCTCTTGCAAGCGTCGGGGCAAAGGCGGAGACAGCGGGGTCCCTCCTCCCCCCTTTCCCTCCTCCAGGGGGAACCCCCCTCCTTGGCTCAGCGGCTGCACCCCTCCTTTGCCCGCCCCTCCGTCCCTGTCCCCTCCCTCCCCCGCCCGGGGCCTTCCCGGGCCTTCGGTGGCCGCAAAGAAAAAAAAAAGAGAGAAAGGGAGGAAAAAAGCAGCGGAGGGAGCGGCGGCGGAGGAGAGCGCGCGCGCGCCCCTCCTTCCCCCTCCCTCCCCCTCCCCCCAATTTCCACCGCGGCCAATTCATGGACAGGAACTACCCCAGCGCCGGCTTCGGGGACCCGCTCGGCGCCGGGGCGGGATGGAGTTACGAGAGGTCAGCGAAAGCTAGGTAAGAAGCTGAGGGGACCTGGAGAAACGGGCCAAGAGATGGGGGGTTCCTGTCGGGCCTGGGCCTGGGGCCCGCCCGGCGACGCGTGCACCGCCAACTCCCCCTCCGGCTTTTGCAAGGGAGCGGCCTTCTTTGGGTTTGTAACAACGCCGCCGCCCCAGTTTGCAAATTGCAAACTCCGCCAAAGCCAGCTCCGGCTTGCAAAAGAGAAACGAGGCAGGCAAGGCGCAAAAACAAATTCGAACCTTGGAAGGCCTTGGGAAGATGGGAAGGACTGGCAGTGGAAGGCCTGCACTTGCCCCCCATTTTTGGATTCCCGGCTTGCTGACCCCTCCCCCTGGGCGCCCCTGGCTGTGCAACTGCGAAGGTGGGAGGAAAGGAGAATTAGCTTGCAGACCTGGGGGGCGCACACCCCCTCCCAGGTCCTATTGTTCCGGGGCTGCGTGAGGCTGGGCCACTCGAGCCCTCCCCCCTCCAAGAAATTCCGCGCGCAGAGTGGGCACGGGGCCCCGCCCCCTTCTTAAACTGGTTTCTTGTGTTGGGGGGGTCCTGGGATTGGGGACACGCCCCCTTTTGCTCCCCACATTCCTCAAAGCTGAGGATCCTGGTTGATGGTGCACTGTTTGCCCTCTGGTCCGGGGCCGCGGATTTGGACCCTCGTAGGGGTACAGTAGGATCTTTTCCTCGTTTGTGTTTGCGTGTGCGAGCGAGCGTGGGCCTTTTCACGCGTGGCTAGCGGCACGTTCACTTGTGAACCTGCCTCTCGCAGTCTAATTTGTGTTGCTGGTCCTCACGCCTCACCTGCCCTTCAGCCCCTCCCCCTCAACACTTGGGTTTCCCCAGCGTGGACAAATTTTTCGAGTGGGACTTAACAACTCAGGACCTTTTCTTCTCCACTTGTGAATTAAACTCCTGCATGCACACGCACCTGGCTCTGCCTCCGCCCCCTGGGGATGTACCGAATTCATGTCAGTACTTGTACCTGGGACTTTCCCTGGGTCCTGTCCCCTCGCCACCTTCTCCCCTTGCCATTTGGGACGCAAGCTGCCTCCTGCTTCTGGCTTGGTTGAACCCTTTCCCTAAGACAGGGTCTGTGCTGTTCCAGCGGGGCCTGGGGTGGCCATGTGTCCCTGCAGGGTTCGGGGGGAGGGTTCCAGGACAGGACTCTTCCCCGACTTCCTCTGTCCCTGCGTGCCTGTGTGTGGGACTCCCAAGAGTTCCAGAGTAGGGGCGTTTTTGTGCTCCCCCATGGAGCAGCTGGATTCCCTGGTGTGCTATCTCAGGGGTCCTTGGAGGAACACCTCCATTCAAGGGCCCCCCAGCCCTCTTCTCCGAGGACAGCTTGAGAGGCGATTCTGACATCTCTCCCTTGCTCTCAGCTTGGTTTACGGCAGCTCCCGGACCTCGCACCCAGAAACCGACATCTTGCACCGCCAGGCCTACGCGGCCCCCCACCCACTACAAAGCTATGCCACCAACCACCATCCGGCAGGTACGGGGCCCCCATCCTGGAGGGCTGGGGCGGTCCGCCCTCCAAGACACCTGATTGGTTGCTGAAAGTTCCGCCCCTGCTAATTGGCCTTGCCCTTGGTCCTGGCCCTCTTTTTTGGCCACTTCTCCTCTGATTGGTTACCTCTGAAGCTGCTGGTCCGTGCTTCGTTTTATACCGGATTCGTCAGGCCCCTTTTGGGTCCGCCCCTTCCACTCCTATTGGCTGCCACCCACCGGGGCCCCCAAATCCCACCTTCTCTTCCAGGCCTTTCCTCCTCTTTGCAGCTCATCCCCGGCCTTTCTTTCCCTGGGAGTTTGTCTGATTCCCTTGGCCCCTGGCTCCTTTTCCCCTCCCTATTGGCTCCAATTCTTTGGCCCGCCCCCTTTTTCCTTAGCGTAACCTCGTCCACCATCACTGTGGCCTTACCGCCCACACCTTTGATTGGCTCCCGTCTCTCCGATTTTTTTTAAACCAGTCCTGTTTGGCCCCTGGCTCTCCTGGTTGGCTGTTTCCCTGTTTTCTACCTCTTGGCTTTTTGTGGCTACTTCTGTGGTGCTGGGAATCGAACCCTCCGTCCTTCCCTCCCTCCGTTCCTCCCTTCCGTTTTAATTTTGAGACAGGGCCTCACTAAGTTACTCAGGTTGCCTTTGAAGGTCTGATCCTCCTGCCTCAGCCTCTTTGGGGACTGAATTGAACGCAGTGCCCATTGGCTTGTCTGCTCTTCAGCCGTTCTTAGTACTGCACTTGGCTTGGGGCTTGCCCTTCCCCTCTGACCCCAGCCCCTACCCGGCCTGGCTGACCTGGCCTCCTGTGTCTTGCCAGGCCTCTCTGGACTTTTTGACACTGGCCTCCACCACGCTGGCTCAGCAGGGCCTGACGCCTCCGTCATGAACCTCATCTCGGCCCTGGAGTCCCGGGGCCCCCAGCCCGGCCCCTCCGCCTCCTCTCTCCTCTCCCAGTTCCGAAGCCCTTCCTGGCAAACAGGTAAGTCCAGCGCTAGTCCCCGGAGGGTTGGAGAAGGGCTGTCTGTGGCCCACCCACCCTGACTGTGGTGTTCTTCACCCCAGCCATGCACACGCCAGGCCCCACGGAGCTCTTCATCTCTGGTGCTCTCCCGGGCTCCAGCACCTTCCCGTCTTCCTCTGCCCTGTCTGCCTACCAGCACCCGGCTTCCTTTGGCAGCCGCCCCTTCCCAGTGCCCTCATCTCTCAGCCTCCAGGATCCACCATTCAGTCCTCCTGCCAACGGGCTCCTGTCTCCCCACGATGTGCTCCACCTGAAGCCCTCACAGGCTCCCACAGTGCCCTCTTCGTTGGGTTTTGAGCGCCTGGCAGGGGGTGGTGTCTTGGGGCCTGCCGGCCTCGGCCCTGCTCAGACTCCCCCCTTACCGTCCTGGTCCCCCAGATCCACCTCCGCCTCCCCGCCACCTCCCAACTCAGTTCAATTTGCTGGCTTCTTCTTCTGCTGCCACCGCTGCTGAACCATCCTCCCCTCAGCTCTACAACTTCTCGGGTGCTGCCCCGGGTCCGCCACCTGAGCGGGCCCTGCCCCGACAGGACACGGTCATCAAACATTACCAGCGGCCGGCCAGTGCCCAGCCCCCACCCCCCCCACCCCCAGCCCATTCCCTGCAGCATTACCTGAGCTGCGGAGGTAGTTATCCCTCCATGGGCCACCGGGCCAGCTTGGCTTGCAGCCCTCTGGGAGGTGGGGAGCCTTCTCCAGGTGCTGGGGAGCCTAGCAAGGGGGGGCCCAGTGGAGCCACAGCTGGAGCAGCTGGCCGGGCCACAGGTCCGGAGACTGCTGGGGGAGGTGGGGCGGGGGGTGGTGGCTACCGCCCTATCATCCAGTCCCCTGGTTACAAGACAAGTAAGGGGGGGTTACGGGCCAGCCACAGGGGGTGCCACCAGGCCTCCACCACCGAGATCTACTGCCACACCCAAATGTCAGAGCCTGGGTGGACCGGCTGCTTATGCTGCTGGAAAAGCCTCTGGGGCTGGAGGGGCTGGGGGCCAGGCCTATTCTCCTGGTCAGCCCCAAGGGCTTCTGGGACCCCAGGCCTATGGGCAAGGGTTTGGAGGGGGTCAAGCTCAGGACTTAAGCAAAGGCCCTGGCTATTCTGGTGGGCCCCCGCAGCCCCCCAGCGGCCCCCCACCTCCTGGCCTAGCTACCTGTCAGAGTTACTCCCCAGACCAGCTTCAGGGCCAGCTCTATGGAGTACAGGGTGAGCCTTACCCTGGGCCAGCTGCCCATTCGCAGGGACTCCCCACAGCCAGCCCCTCCCTCAGCTACAGCACTGGGCACTCTCCAGCTCTCTCAGGCCATGGAGGTGGCTGGGGACCCAGTTCTCTGGGAGGCGGTGGAGAGGCTAGCCCGTCTCATATCATCCGACCCCTCCAGTCACCGCCTGCTACTGGCCGCCCTCCTGGTGTTGGCTCTCCAGGAGCCCCTGGCAAATACTTAAGCTCGGTCTTAGCTTCAGCTCCATTCCTGGCCCCCCCTGGAGCCAACAGCTATGCAGCTGGAGCCGGTGGCTACAAGGGGAAAGGAGACGGCTCGGAGCTGCTTGCTGGCCCTGGCGGTGCTACCACCGAGCGCACAGAAGATGAAGA